ACATTTTTAAAAATGAGATGCTGATGTTTCCTGATGTTTGCACTGGCGAAAATTAATTATGCTCTTGTTTGTCTCTTTGAATTGTCTGATTAGCTGGAATGGATATAAGAGAAGCGATACACTCTTTGATCACCTTCAATGTTAACAAATCTTAATTGTCTTAAAGCTAATTTTGTAAGCAATGTATGACCACCACCTCTTGGGTTTTTAGTGGTTTTCTTTACTTTCACCTGTAGTTTGTAGTTACCCCTCCTTGTTTCTTTGTGGTTTATAGAAAATGCAATAAAAAAATCCCCTGCGGGGGGCCAAAAAAAGAAAAAGAAGAAGACTTGTTGGGCAAAAGCCTCACCTGGACCCATGTGTTTCCTAAAACACTTGTTGGACACCAGGAAGGGTGTTGGTGGGCACCATAGGCACCCATGGGCACTGCACTGAGGACTTCTGCTTTAAAAGATACTTCATCATAGATTCAGGGGAAGCCTGGATTGCATGTAAGAGGTTAAAATAGGTTTATTCACGTAGATAAATTCAGGATAGCAACTGTTAGCATAAAGATACTTGGTTTGTAGCACTGGATTTAAAATATGGTGACTTTCATATTGCAGTAAACTTCTTGTTCAGAAAATTTCTCCATTATCAGTGCAGACCCTCCATCTACAATATATGGTTGGCTTGTTTGGGTTACCAACAGCCACCAGAGTTTTTATAAAGTTTATGTAGCCCTTGTAGCCTACCTAATTTTCAGAGGTTGCAGCATCTTCCTATAGTTAGAGTATTGGCTCATAATTACAAATTCATAATTACAAATTCAGACTAACTACATCTGTAACATCTAGAAATTGGTGTATGCAGAGCTCAAGACTTGGGGGCTACAGATAAATTAGCAAAAATTAAAACTTGTACCTATGCAACAGGCAGGGCTCTTTTTGTAGAAAAAGCCCAACAGGAACTCATTAGCATAACAGGCCACACCCAATAGCAGGAACTCATTCGCATATTAGGCCACACCCCTGACAGCACAGATCTGCCCTCACAGAGGTGGGAGAGCTTGTACCTGAATAAACCTTGGTCTTAATGATGCCACTGGACTCTTTTGGATTGCTAGTTATGGGGGGGGGGTCTCTAAGGCATTACTGGGCTCTAATCTAACAAGTTTCATCATGATATGACAAAAGTAAAACCCGGTACAGCTTCCCCCCCCAAAAAAAAAGTAGCTAAATATCTCAAGCCAGCTGCACCCCAGATTCAACCAGCGCTGCATCAAGAAAGGGGAGGCGTAATGGAACCAGTATCCTGGAGTCCCAGCCACCACTGAGTGCTCATGACCCGTGTCCAGATGACACTTTCTTCAAATTCATTCTCTAAAGCACCAAAGATGCTGTCCTAAGAACAGGTACCTGGAAGTTGTGGAACTCTAGGAGTTTGTTTGCCCCCCATATGAAATCCCCCTAAATTTGCTTGCCTCCCATATGGAACCCTAAATTTACAGATTTTAAAGGTACTCTGAAACAGACACACTTCCAACTAGTCAGCAAGAGGTCTAAGAGTGATGTCTAAGTGACCCCCTCTCCTTAAAATTATTTCAGGGGATGCCTGTGTTGCATAGCGAGCCCCACTGAACAGCATGGGATTTACTTCCGAGTAAACATGCATGGCAAGATTTCTGCTTCTGGGGAAAAAAAATTAATCTCAGTTTCCTCCTCCTCCAGGCCACCCAGCTCCTGCTTCCAAAGCGCACTCAAGTTCTTATTAACTGCACACAAAAATAGTTGCAAGGACGCAAAGGAAAAGGAGGAGGAAGAAGAAGACGGATTCTGCTTAGCTCAGCGCGGGGAAGGGTTCAGAGGACAGATGTTTTCCCGGGGGGTGGTGGTGGTGGTTAAGGCTCAGACAGTCCTGGCAAAGCCCACAAGAAGTTTCAGTCTGCCCAACTCTCTCCTCCTCTCCCCGCGCCCCAGCGAACTTCCACTGCACTTAGCAAACTGCACATCCACGATCCGCTTACCAGAAGGCACACAAAGCAAAGGCAGCTGTCGGGCGGCCAACAAGCCGTGGCGGGGGGAGAGGGGGGCAGAGGAGTTCCCTTTCCAAAGCCAGATTTTCTGCGAAGCCCTCTTAAATTCGGAGTCATGCTGCCAAAACAGCGTTGGTGCTGCCACTTGAGCCTCCCGGCCCGCGATCCCCTTTCCCACGCCGCTTAATCCGTACTTTTCTGCTTGCCCCGTGTCACCAAAAGTTCCTTTCTCCTTACATGCAAGCCCCTGCCACCCCCCGCAGTCCACCCCGATCATGACCTGTCTTTGTGCCATTGGGCCGCACGCAGGCACCGGCCTTGCCTGTCTCCCTTCTGCCGCCGTCTTTCTCTCTTTCCCCTGCCCTGCCACATTGACGCCCTTCAGCTTCTCCTCCTTTTCTCTTCCTCCCTTCGGAGCACCCATGGAGCGGAGCTTCTCCCTGTCCTGCCACAGCTGAGGAGAAAGTAACCGCCGCCCACCATGTACCGTTGTCTGGGGGAGCTCCTGACGCCCGCCCACGCTGCTTGGCGGTGGCCCTGCTGTCGGGGAATGGCCCAGGGGGGAGGCCCTGCGGCGGTGGCCCCCCTCTTGCGGCCAGCCAGTGGTGCTACAGCCAGGCCATTGAGCAGGAAGATGACCCCAACTTCTTCAAGATGGTGGAGGGCTTCTTTGACTGGGGCGCCAGCATCATGGAGGACAACCTGGTGGAGGGCTGCTGGGAGCAGGGGGCGTGGCCAAATTGGAGGGCTGCCGGAATACCGTTCTGGTGCGTTCTGCCCCCAAAATAGCCCTGGCAACAGGTATGTTGGGAGATAAGTTTTGGGTTTTATTCAAAACATGGCTTTCCTCTCAGAGGGAAAAATAAGGGATATTGCCATTTTCAAACAGTCCTCAACATGTAAAAACCTTGAGGTTTGTAACTTCTACTGCTGCATTTGTAAGGGTATGGGTTTTCTTGAGTCACTGCTCACTTCTTCAGTATACAGAAGAAGTGAGCAGTTGATCACAAAAGCTCATACCCTGCCACAAATTTTGTTAGTCTTTAAGGTGCTTCTAAGGAGCTGCGGTGGCTCAAGTGGTTAAGATGCTGAACTGGAGGCTGTGGAAGGTCAGTAGTTCAGCAGTTTGAGACCCGAGTTGCCGCATGACGGAGTGAGCTCCCGTCTCTAGTTCCAGCTCCTGCCAACCTAGCAGTTCGAAAGCAAGAAATTGCAAGTAGATAAATAGGTACCACTTTGATGGGAAGGTAACAGCGTTCCGTGCGTCTTGGTGTTTAGTCATGCTGGCCACATGACCATGGAAACGTCTTCGGACAGCGCTGGCTCTTCGGCTTTGAAACGGAGATGAGCACCGCAACCCTAGAGTCGGATTCGACTGGCTTTCGAGCAAGGGAACCTTTACTTTACTTTTTAAGGTGCTTCTGTCTGGACTCTCTTTTTGGTGTAGTGGTTTGTTTGGTGTAGTGGTTAAGTGTGCAGACTCTAATCTGGGAGAACCAGGATTGATTCCCCACTCCTCCACTTGCACCTGGCTGGGGTGACCTTGGGTCAGTCACAAGCTCTGGCACAGCTGTCCTTGAATAAGAGCAGTTTGTGTCAGAGTTCTCTCAGCCCCACCCACCTCACAGGGTGTCTGTTGTGGGGAGGGGAAGGGAAAGGAGTTTGTAAGCCGCTCTGAGACTCCAAGTGAAGGGCGGGGTATAAATCCAATCTCTTCTTCTTCTACTGCTACAGACAAACACGGCTACCCATCTTGATCTATCTGCATTTGCAAGGTTTACAATACAGCTTCTTCAGAATTAATTTGTAAGACTCTTTCAACAGTGATGATCAGACAAAATGTCAAACTGAGCATACCCAGAACTTTCATTCATTTCTTCATATGCTGGATGTCAGAGAGGAATAGCAGGGTGCCTTGTTCGGAATCATTTCCTCCATTCTGACTGTGATAACAGATGCTTCTTGGCTGGGTTGGTGAGCTCATTGTATAGACCTCACTGTAAGAGGCACCTGGTTCTCTGTAGAAACAACTCCTCATGTGAATATCCTAGGACTGACAACAATGAAATGTGTTCTAGCAGGTTTCATGGATGTGGTTCAAGAGAAAAATATACAGGTGGTGACAGGCAACACTACTGTGTTGTTCTCTCTGAACAAGAGGGGAGGTACCAACTCTTGGGCATTTTGCATAGAAAGTCTGGATGTATGGGACTCCTGCGTGATGCTATTTATGTGTTCATGTATATTTATTTAATTACTTTGAATGTGTGTGTGTGTGTTTTTTTTCTCTGTCTCTTGGAGACACATTTCTTGGAACGCAAGCAATGTTCTATGTGACTCCAACCCCAGTCCTACTAATAGGAGGGGTGTTGTATGCAGTCCAGCAGAGGATGTATTGTATCCTAACATCCCTCTGCTGGCTCAGGCAGACCTTGTTTATATGTCAGTGTCTCAAGGTCAGTGCACTGGCTCAGGACTTCTTGAAGGCAAAAGAAAGTGCTTCATCACAACATCAAAGTGCTACCTTTGTAAGCTTGACTCCTTTAGATGTGAATGAATTATTCTTTGATTCAGTGCAAAGAGTCCTTGCACAAACTAGAAAACTTTCCACCTGGAAACCCTGCTTTGCCAAATTTTGTATTTGGATGTCTCAAAAGGCTCTTTGGTTCAGTATTTCAGTTTCTTCATACGCAGCTATGTTGCCGTTTGACTGCCCTTCTTGTGTTAATTTGAATAAGGAGGTGAGGAAAGAGACGTGTACATTTTGAATGGTGTGATCTGTTATCTGCTGTCCCAGCCTTAGCTTCTCATAAGGTAAATGAATTCTGAGTGCCTCATGAAAATAGCTCTTGTTAGTGTCTCCTAATAGGCTGGCTTACTTTAGCTATCATATGATAACATTTAGCTATACTTAGAAGAGGGTTAGTCCTGTCGTTCTCAAGATATAAAAACTTGATTTTGGTTTGCTAACCTGCAGTTGTCCTCTCCTTCCTGGGAATTCTAGCTTTCAAAACTTGTTGAAACAAGCTGCAGTATGATGGCAGCAGGTAAGGGACTTAGTGAAGTAGGATCATCCTCAAATGCCCTTTAAAATCTTTGTCATTCCTTTTTATAACCAGAAGTTAATTTGTAAAAGTTCTGTATAGCATTTGATAGGTGAAGATTTAAAGTGTAAGGCCTAGGGGAGGCTACTTTAACTGCATTAAGAATGCTTGTAGGTAATTAAAAAATCTCTTACCCACTGGTTTTGCTTTTCTTTAAGAAAGGTACAGAATTTATAGGTATATTTTTAAATATATATATACAAACTTATTTGAGGTTCTTGTGTAGCTAATAAATATAGCTGTCCGTTGCAAATTATTCTATCCATTTGGGGGGGGGGAGTGATTTCAGAAGGAAGCCATATGCTTCATATTATGTAGTAAAAGTTATTAATGGCTGAGCACTAAACCTGAAAGTTCAGTGTCAAGGAATCAAGAAACTTCTCCACTGAAAATAACATACATTTTCCAGCTAATTTAATTTGTGCATAGTTTGGATTTCCTTCCATGGTATTTATGTGATGGTAATCACACTGACAGTAGTCCTATAACTGTAGAGGTAGTTGATATATCACTATTGGTTTTACTTTTTTCTCTCCAAAGCAGTCTGAGGGAACAGCTTCTAGGACCCCCACAGAGTTGTCATGCTTTCTCATTTTGTCATTTGAATGCATAATTAGTCTTGAATATGCCCTTTCATATGGCCTCAAAGTAGCTGACTTGCCTAAAAAAACCTTGTAGTCTTGTATGGAAGCAATTTCCCCCCATTTTATTGACCTTATTAAAGTAACAAATAATACCATAGATAACTATCATGTACCCTCCATATTGTCTACAACAAAATTATTCAGTTGTCAGTTAACCTGAATGTTGGGTCAGGGGGTTAGGTAATAAGGTACTTGATAGCATTCATGCATGTATTTCACCAGAAAATGTGAATGGTTGCTTTATTTTTAAGGGAGAATAGTGAATGTTGTCTAAATTTACTGCATAGATGCTTTAGAGATATAATGAGGATGTCTTTAATCATGCTAAACAAGAAGTGTGGCTTCCAAAACAGGGTCATGAAATCTGATTTTGGGTAAACTCCCAAAGCCTTGACCCTCCGCCACCACTACCACCACCTCACCATAAGCAGCAGCCGGCTTTCCACGGCCCCAATGGGCAGATGCTGCACTGTAGCCACAAGCAGGACAGACGGAGCAGACCTTCCATACCCTGGGGGGGTTCGAGTCGTGGTGAGGATCTGCAGACACAGGATGCATGCTTGGCAGGGTGGGGCATTTTTCTCCTCGCCAAGTAACTCTAAAGATGTTTCTATCAAATGTGTATGGAAAATTAAAAGTTGTAGTCTATTATCCAGTTGTTATTAAGTTTGCCATGTGATGAATTTGGGCAAGTAGTGAATTTACAGGCCATAATCTCACAGTGGGCCTATTCAGGCATTATTTATACCCTGGAATAGAAAGGCGAACGGGTAGCCTGGGAGGTATTGGTAGAGGATAAGAATCTATCTGTTAAATTCTCTGAAGCCCCAATAGCTGATGAAAAAGTAAAAGTATAATAGTTTTCCCCTCCCTTATCCACATGCAAGTTATTCAGAATTGATGTAATGTTAAAGATAACTGGTTTAATCCTTTTAATATCAGATATCCAAATAGAACTAGGAGAGCTTGCATTCTTGAAAGCTTATACCCTTGAATCTTGCTCTTCTGCTCTGCAGGCCAACTTGGCTACCCAACTGAAACCAAATAGAACCAATGACTTTGTCAGATCATGCTACTCCTTCTTTTTGTGGAAGACTATTTTACTTTATGGAGACCGAATAATGTGCTGTTAAAAAAGGATAACATTGCATGCTGTCAAAGAGAAACTCAAGAAGTTGTTCAGCTTTAGTAACACCCAGGGCTTTTTTTGTAGAAAAAGCCCAGCAGGAACATATTAGCATAATTGGCCACACCCAACAGCAGGAACTCATTAGCATATTAGGCCACACCCCTGACAGCACAGGTCATTAGCATATGAGGCCACACTCCTGTGTTACCAGAAGTCTGGTCATCCAGCCACACCCACCTTTTGCTTCTTATTCTGTTTACCTTGTTTGTTGTCAAAACCCAGGGCTCTTTTTGTAGCAGGAACTCCTTTGCATGTTAGGCCACACACCCCTAATGTAGCCAATCCTAATGAGTTTCTGCTGTTGGGTGTGGCCTATTATGCTAATGAGTTCCTGCTGGGCGTGGCCAACTCAGGAGTCAGCCGGAACTCCGTTCCTGTGCGTTCCTGCCCAGAAATAGCCCTGGTAACACCTCTTAGTAAATCATTTTGGACATGAGTAAACCTTAATGAGATGTGTACCTATACAACAAACAGCCTGGCAGGAAAAGAAATATCATAAATTGAAAGATTATTTGATAATATAAATTAAGCAATTAGAAAACAAGCATAACATTTGATTAGTGGAGCAATATAGACAAATACGAGCATATAAAGCATATCTAAAAGATAATATACCCTAAGGAAGCTATTAAATAATTTTCTTTACAAAGCAGCTGAAAAAAAGCAACAAAACTGAATAGTTACTGGCAAATTATTTGGCAAAAAACCCAAACAGAACTCTCAAGTAATAACAGCTTTTTTTCTTATTTAGTTCAAAAGTTAACAAATAGCAAAAGAGATACATCTAACATATTTGTAGAATATTATCAGAAGCTGTATAATGAATGTATGAAGTTGTCTTATACAATTGATGTTCATCATCATGGCTTCTGTGTAGGCTCACGTTGGGGACTGCGTGTGCACAGGCCAGCTGTGGAAAAGATTTCCAAAGATTTCTAGTAGGCTAGGAGCGCCCCTACTCCCTATGGTGCTTTTCCATAAGTGTAACCCTGTTTTATCAATCAAGGTCAGTATTTTCTACTCTGACTGGCAGCAGCTCAGGTATCACTTACTGCCTAATAGTTTTAGCTGGAAGTGCCAGGGGTTGAACCTGAGATTTTTGTGCATGCCAAGCAGATCCTCTACCACTGAGGGGAAGGCCTTGGCCTTTATGCCCTGTTGTTGGCCATCCAGAGGAACTGATTGGCCACTGTGTGAGGCAAGATGCTAGACTAGATGGACCATACTTCAAGAGTATTTAGAATAACATTAGCTACAGCCTTCATCATAGAATTGCCAGGTACTCCCTGGCAGTCAGCTGGGGGGGAGCTTACTGGCATCAAAAAGAGGCTTAGGCTGGCATCACCAACAATGTGGTGGTGTCACTTCTGGCTTCAAATTCCAAAAGGTTTTAATGCAAGATGTGCATGACTAGGTATTGTTGAATGCATTTCTAATAAGCTGAGAGTTATCCTGCAAGCAAATAATATATACTTTCTCATTAACTTGTGAGGTCCAACAAGGATGCCCTCCTTACTTTTTCCTATTTGTATAGAACCTTTTGGCAGTCATGATTAGATCTAGGAAAGAAATTAAAGGGGTACTAGTAGGTGGCAAACATATATAAAGTAAGTTTATATGCAGATGATATTGTAGTATAACGTAAATCCTTTGCATTCTTTGGTTAATACTTGAAATGTTGCAAAGAACATGGAACAGTGTCTGATAAATAAATCTGAAACAGAAATACTAAAACAGAATATAGACTTAAAACTAAGGAAGATATTCAAAATACTTTCAGTATCCAATGTTCAAACTCTATGATAATGATACCTAGGGATCTGGCTGTCTTCTAGTCCCGTATACTTGTATAAAAACTACTATATGAAAATCATGGTTATCAGTTAAAAGGTTTGTTGAAATGGATTACATTACTTGCTTGGGAAGAATAATTTCAAAATCATGGCTTACCCAAAATATTACTTTGAAAATGTCCCAATAACTATACCTGTTCAAACTATAAATGCATGGGGAAAGGAGTTTGTTAAATACAAGACAAGAGTTCTGCCAGAGTGATTTATACAAATACGATCGGTTTTATTAAAGTAACTTTTTTTTTTACTTCACACAAATTAATAAAGTGATTTGAGGGGTTACCAAACATGTTGGAAATGCTGGACTGTTTCTGTTGATTTCAGGCATGTTGTTGTCTTGTCCCATAGTTAAGCAATTGTGGATGAAGTAGGCTAGCCAGGCCCTGCCCCCTGCGCTCTTCCCCCTGGTGCCATTCAGCTGGCCAGCAGGGGGACTTACTGGCAGCGTGGCGATGTCACTTCTGGCACACACCAGAAGTAGGCATCATCGTGTCACTGGTGACACAGGGTGTTCTAGTATTTTGGCAAAAACTATGGTAAAAACAATTTTTACCATAGAATTTTAGCTCAAATACTAGAATGTCACTGGTGACGTGATGATATCACTTCCAGTGTGTGCCAGAAGTGACACCACCACATTGTTGGTGATGCCAGCCTAAGCCTCTTTTTGATGCCAGTAAGCTCCCCCCCAGCTGACTGCCAGGGAGTACCTGGCAATTCTATGATGAAGGCTGTAGCTAATGTTATTCTAAATACTCTTGAAGTATTTGCTACTTTTGTTTCCTTTAAGACATTATGTACCTATTCAGGGCTTTTTAAAAAAAGAAGTGGTGGTGGTGGTGGTGGTGGTGGTGGTGGTGGTGGTGGTGGTGGTGGTGGTGGTGGTGGTGGTGGTGGTGGTGGTGGTGGTGGTGGTGGTGGTGGTGGTGGTGGTGGTGGTGGTGGTGGTGGTGGTGGTGGTGGTGGTGGTGGTGGTGGTGGTGGTGGTGGTGGTGGTAGTAGTAGTAGTAGTAGTAGTAGTGCCAGAACTCTCAAGAGGGAAATGAAGTTTTCAATCGTTATACTGAAAACTCATGAACTTTTAAACATTTTTAAAAGAATTTTGTTGAAGAAGTTCCGGAACTCTGCTCTGGCATGTTCCCCCAGAAAAAAATCCTTTACCTATTGTTAACAAAATATGATCTCTCTTATGCTTGTAGTTGCAAAAATAATAATAACAAAGAACTGTTGGAACCCTTTTTTGACAGTTGTTTTTAT